GAAATTACCATTCCGGTCGAGCAGGCGAAACATGGACGAGTTGCCGACGTAGGAGACGATCCAAGCCTCCTTGCAGCATCAAGTAAGCGTCGTCGACACTCCAAGAGCCCAAAACCGCCCAGGACTCAGTGTGCCCATAGACATTCCCCGTATTTGATCAATCCGACTGACGAGGACGTGGTCGAGTGTGTAGGTGGCAAGGTACGAATACTCCGCGACACCAGCGAGCTAACGACACCAGTAATCGCAAAGGCGTGCTCCCCACCACCATGTACGTCATGTGTCATTCCTGCGCTATTCATTCGTATCGTAGGAACACCGAACGAAGGTGACAATTCCCTCAGGCGCATGGCCGGCATCAAAGCGCCCATGCTCGAGACGATGTACTCGTACTTACATGACAATTGGAAACTCAATGTTCTCTGTGCATAGTTGATAAAATTGTTGCACCAAGCCACTCACGACCACAACCAAAGACCAAGGACAAGCTGCAGCCTTTGACGTGATCCTGCGCACACAAGTCCTTACAAGCACACAACGATTCACACTTTCGGCACGTTCGAGGTATCAATTCATAAAATCAATTCGTTATAGTGTGTTTTCTCGTTTACGCTTGCGAACTTCATGAAGCAGATTAGAGTATGTGTCCGTGTATCCCGCGTGTGTCGTGCGCTCGTTGGTGTTGCGGAGTCATCGTACCTTGCCACCTACACACTCGACCACGTCCTCGTCAGTCGGATTGATCAAATACGGGGAATGTCTATGAGCTCACTGAGTCCTGGGCGCTTTTGGGCTCTTGAAGTGTCGACGACCGCGGTCTCGGGTGCCTTCGGGCGGCGCATTGTCTTGTGGGGCTAGGATGAAAAGTGTGATCTGCGCACCCCAGAACTTGAGCCAATTGCTCATCTACAATATCAAAGAAGAATGTCCCATGAGAATCGTGTCGGATGAATATGTCGTTTTCCCCAGATTATCTATTCGTAAATTCTCCTGATTATAGCCAATCAACTTGAACTAAGCCGCGAAATTGAATAGATTCGATTCTATTCCGCTCTCCATGCATTTCAGGATAAAACATAATACCATGTCGGCTTTTTCCGGGGTTCAGTGTAGAGGAAAGTATTTAGGGGTTAAATGTCAAATACAAACCGATTAAACGACAACTAGGAACTGGTCAAAGAAAAATACATTTGTTGTGGCAAGCATACAATTATTTACAGTGAGCGAAGGCATCCACCCGTCTTACGGATATTTATCCGAAACCAATCGCAAATGACAG